GTGCTGAGCTGTCAGTAGCCCGTTAGCCTCTCAGGTCAGAGTCTCACTGCGGGAAGGACTTTACCTCACAGCTATCAGCACTCTCAGCCCTCCTCCGAGCACGGCTTATCAGAGCATGGCACGAGTGTGTGTGAGCATGCATGCCATTCAGGTGGGCGGTTGATGAATGAGTAATATTTATTGCAAAAGAGCACAATGTGTGTATTTTTTATCTTAAATATCAGGGCTTGCCTTTGATATATTACCTTCACAGAACCTCTCTCTGCCTTTATGCTACTTCTCTCAGTGTCTGGTTGCCTGAGTGTTGGTATTTCTTTGCCTCTCGAGTTGTGCTCGGTTGCCTCGGTGAGCAGTTTTGAAGCGATCTTGTTAGTTTGATTAACTCAGTTTGTCAGCATTGCTCTTTCTCAGTGCCATTGTGTTCTAGTTACCTTGGCAATCTGGACCACTTTTATTAACAAAGTTTAGCTCTACGTTTATGAATAATTTCTTGCTGTTGCTGACTCAAGTCCTCATATGCAAGGATTTCTAAATCAGTGCTTTTTCCCTCTACTCCTTATTGCTGCACACATTTTAATGGGGTCATTTAGTTCCTCTTTTTAGAAGAGCTGCTGACTGCAGCAATGGTGTCACCATTTTTCACTTCTCTAGTCTACAAAGCTCACGTGCTCTCTTTCAGATGGGAGACTAACCGTGGCTGACAGGCTCTTTATATCGATTACTCACTCGTACACTGACTCACCTCCTCTCACTCTCTCAATGTCACACACATACATATTGACACACTCTCCAGATGTGTACTTACATATACAAGCAGCAGCCAACAGCCTGTTAGCCACGTATGGAGCTATACAGGTGGGGAAGATGGGCTGCACCATGTAGTTGGAGAACGTGATGGCTATGACGGCCTGGCTGGTCGGCTCGATGATCAGCAGCGACGTCCACAGGCGGATGAAGGCCAAGAAACCTCCGAAGGCCTCCAGGATGTAGGCGTAGGATGCCCCCGACTTGGTGATGGTGGTCCCCAGCTCGGCGTAGCACAGGGCCCCAAACACGGAGAAGATCCCTCCGACGGTCCACACCACCAGAGAGAGGCCGTAGGAGGCACTGTGGATGAGGACGCCCTTGGGCGAGACGAAGATCCCCGAGCCGATCATGTTCCCCACGATCAGACAGACCCCATTCAGGAGGGAGATCTCCTTCTTCAGTTTCATGGACTCCTCGCTTTTAGACTTTACAGATGGGGGTCCGCCATTGGGTGCCTCTTGCGTCGGGGCAGGGCTATAGGATGCCATTGTTCGTGTTTTGGTGGTTTATTTATTAATTAGCAAAAAGCAAGAAACTGTTTTCTGATCAAGATTTCAGTCACAAACAGCCCGTTTTTTTTTTTTTTGCTTTGATGTTACTGAAGATTTAAAACTTTCCTCCCAGTTATCTATGATCATCTCCTGCCATCTGTGGAGGAAACACACAAGGTCATTTATCAGCGATGCTGTAACCATGGAGACCGATTTGGTCACGGCATAGCCTACGTACAGCAAATACTCGTGTTGTTTCAATCCTGTCCAAATCTAGTCAAACAAAAACATATTTACATGCCACGGGCGCTAATGTGGAAACAAACATGCAAAAAAAAAATCCTGTAATACCACAGTAGCGTACACGCTGTCTGATTTCAGAGCAGTTTTGTGGATTGGAGAGCCATTAGGGCGTAAAGCAAATGGCCTTTTAAGGTTGAGTGTATTGACAGAGAGACAGGGAGAGGAGCAAACATGCCACATGCCTGAAAACACCGGCTCATTAGCAACCATACGTATGAGCTGAGGAAGAATTACCAACTGAGACACACACACACACACATTTTGACTGATAGCTGCCCACTGATCCACCTACACGCACATGTAGAGTTTGAGGGTGTCAGCATAGTGGCTGGTCACATGTTTTCCAAAGTTCATCATCCTCAGCATGAATGGAGTTTGATTGTGAGACAGACACTCATTGGGCAGCGTGTTCCTTTACCTTTCTACGGGATTCAATAAGATAATGCCAACTCGCCACAATCTAATGTACATACACAAACTTACAAATTAACTTCCTTTAATTAAATTAACTGTTAATGGAGTTTTGAATGAGAGAGGGCACGCTATGTCAAGGCCAAGATTTTCAAACATCCAGAATACTTGGCGGCAGTTGATTTATCTGTTGTTTCAATGTGATTTCAGAGACTTTCTGTACGTTTTTCTACCTTCTAGCTGTATCGTAAAACAAAAAAACAGCCCCGTTTCAACCAAAAACACTGACTTTTCACCTTCACATTAACAACAAAGTCTCTAGGATTGTTAAAGCACTTCTTGATGAGCAGAGTCTGACAGAGATTGATCAAACAACTAAGAACAGCAACTTAAGACTTTTTGAAAATGGACTCAGAATCTTTAGATTTAGATAGAAAGAACAATGAGGTGTATAGATGTAATAATTGATCCATAGATAGCAAACAGAAGACACTAAAGAAGGCAATTCATCTGAAGAGATATAGAGAAGAGTCAGGCAGAGAAAGGATCATCAGAGTAAGTGAGATAGCTTGATAGCATAAAGACATAATTTACTGCAGACTTAACCAGAGTCTAAGAATGATCATTAAAGACACGGAGCTTGTGAGGAGAAGGTAAGAGTGACCGAAAACGTTCAGATACCTCGAGGCAGCAGCAGCAGCAGCAGCAGCAGATCAGCAGCACGTGGGTTCGTATGAAGGAGTGACTGCGAAGGGAGAAGGACATTGGATTGAGTGGCCCTGCATGTGATCAGATGCGTGCCACAGACAGGCCAGGCTCTTAGAGTAAAAGAGAGTGCAAGGTCCAAAAGCAGCTGATAAGTAGTCCTTCATGAGTTACTCAAGGTTACATCCTGGATTTAGAAAAATCCTATCAACTCAAGTGTTAGAGGAATTATTCAGCTCCATTTTTTTTGGGGGGGGGGGGGTTCAGCAAGCAACCTTTTTATTATTATTATAATTATGGTAAGGGTTTTTTTTATAGGTTATATCAGAAAGATAGGAGGAATCACCTGTGTGCAGGATGTCCACAGCTCACTTTGTTACAG